TTAAAGAATATTATTGGACAAAAGAAGGCTATAGGTAGGAGAATTAATCGTGGTGAAGTTTAATATTGGAAGAACAAATACTTATAATGTATACAGCCTGAACAACATCAACCTAGAGAAGTCGACTTGTGAAAGAGACCTAGGGGTACTTGTAAGCCCGGACCTACGGCCTAGAAAACAGTGCGTTAATGCCCGAAATAAGGCAAACACAGAGTATTGGCTTTTATATCTGTGAAGTGTAAGTAACAAGAGTGCAGAGGTCTTATTGCAACTATATCTTGCGCTAGTTAGGCCGCACCTCGATTATGCGGTTCAGTTCTGGTGCCCCTATTATAGAATGGATATAAATTCACTAGAGTCGGTGCAGCGAAGAATGACAAAAATGATTCAGGGACTTAGAAACTTTCCATATCAGGATAGGTTAAAGAAACTTAACTTGCATTCCCTAGAAAGACGAAGAGTGCGGGGAGATATGATAGAAGTATTTAAGTGGGTGAAAGGAATCAATAAAGGGGATTTAGATAAAGTTCTTATAATATCCGAGAAGGATAGGACTCGGAGCAACGGATTCAAGTCGGATAAGTTTAGGTTTAGGAGGGAGATAGGAAGAAACTGGTTCACAAATAGGGTGGTGGACGAGTGGAACAAGCTTAGCAACTTTGTAGTAATTGCGGGAACTCTGGAAAGTTTCAAAAGGAGGCTAGATAAATTCATGGATGATAGAGAGTGGTAGTAACTCTCGACAGGAGCTGCCATGCACAGGCCAACCGGCCTATTGCAGACTCCTTATTTTCTTATGTTCTTATGTTCTTATTATTATAAGGTATTGGCCGGTAGGGTTAAGACCGAGATAAGAAATGCAAAGAGGAATAATGAACTGAAGGTAGCAAGGGAGGCGAAATCAAACCCCAAGGGATTCTTCCAAATGTATCAAACTGTAGGAAGATCTAAAAAAAAAATCGAATGGTCTGAAAAATGGCAGATGAAATTCAATGTGGACAAATGTAAAGTACTTAGTCTAGGAGATGAAAACAGAGAAACCATATATCAGATGAACAACATTGCTATAGGGAAATCCGACTGTAAGAGAGATTTAGAAGTACTGTTAAGTAGGAGTCTTAAACCAAAACAACAGTTCTGGTCATCTTACTACAGAATGGATATCGAATCCCAAGAAAGTATTCAGAGGAGGATGACAAGATTAATCCCGGGCATTAGGAACCTTGATTAAAACATATGAATTTGCACTCTCTCGAGAAACGAAGAGTGAGGGGCGATATGGTCGAGGTGTATAAATGGAAGTCAAGGTTAAACAAATGTGATTTAACAAAGGTACTCAGACTATCCAACCAAGAGCTGACTCGTGGCAATGGCTTTAAATAAGGCAAATTTAGATTTAGCCTTGCTATAAATAAAGACTGGTTTGGAAATAGAGTTGTGGATGAGTGGACCAAGTTACCGAACTTTATCATTAACTCGAACACGCTGGGTAGCTCCATGAGAGCGATATGGGTTGGGTGTAAACGGCGCTGCCTAGTATGGGCCAATAAGCCCGCTGCAGTTTCCTCCATTTTTGTGTTCTTATGGTTTTAGGAGGAGAGGCCACAAAGACATCACTATTAGCAGTTAAGAATACTGGAAAATCAACCAGTGTGTGAGAGTGGTGACGTATTCAGGGGAGCAAGTTTGTTGACCAAGTAGCTGGCCCTAGCTGGTTATTCATCATTTAAGTAATGGTCATTTTTTTATATTTTTAAGTATGTGATAAGTGGAGCTATATGTTGGTACTATTAGAGTAGTTTCTAGCCTCAGGCAATGTTAAATGTAATATGTACAGAGTATTTACATGAAGTTCCTTGGATGTGTAGGGTCACGCTGGGTCTCTAGAAACCATTGTATTAAGGAATTATCTAACTAACCCCAGACCCCCATGGCTGTAGTTACGTGGCTTGACTGGGTCCGGACAAAAGCCTCCTTGGACAAAATCCCCTTAGGACAAAAGCCCCGAACTAAGGCCCCGTGGACAAAACCCCCTCAGTTAAAGTGCAAAGTAAGACAAAAGCCCGTCAGTTAATGTTAATGTGTTAGGTTAGATCAGGTTAGGTTAAGTTAGGTTAGGTTCATAAATTGTAATCTGTAAATAATAAGGAATAAAAATAATGTTATAAAATGTCTAATTATAATTTGTGCTAGGGGCTTTATATCCTAGGGGGCTTTATGTCCTTGAGGGCTTTTGTTCGAGGGTCTTACGTCCTACACTCGGGCTTAACAGTGTGGCCTGACAAGCTTCGTCAGTATTACCTCCGTCATTTTCACTTTTCATTAAATATTTTTTGGGTTACTTTAATTAAATTAAACCTAGTTCAGTAAAGCAACGGTCCCTACTTAGTGGTTGTAAGCAGTTTACAGAATAATTTAATGTGGTGGTAATATTGAGAGTCTAGGCTTAAGAATAACTGTGCTAACTATTACAAAGTAAAATCCATTTCAGGAACTGTTGGTTGTTGGGACACTGTATATATTGTACTTGACTAAATCCTGGTGTATCTTCAACGGCCCACTGAGGTACTAATCAGCTTATTATTCCTCTTTGCTTTTCTTATCTCGGTGTTAACCCTACTGACCCAATACCTTATAATAATCTCGGCGGTAAACTTCACAATGATTTATTCTCCAACCAATAACCTTCCTTTGTCCAATAATAATCTTTAAATATTCTTGCTACTGACACATCTAAGACGTCCCCGACCTCTCATGGTATTTAGTACATTATTGATCAACCACTTTCAACTACTAGACGTGAACAGGCAACATTCACAAAGGTCTTATCAAATCTTAGCTTACTGTTATAAAAGGAGAATTTAATATGGATGCCACCATGCCCTTACACATCCTAAAAAAGGAATAGTTGTGTCGTACTTTCAAAGCATTTGCGATAGATGTAGGGTATAAAATTAGTGGGTTTCATGGTTTTGACCTTGATTTTACTTATTAAGTCGCTAATTTTTTAAGCTCTTCTTTCGTGTGCGGTGGAGGCGGTATTGGGATTAGTGGATCCCATGTTATTGACCTGGGACCGCGAACTAAAAACACTTCATCTGTTATGTACAGTAGTAGAGATACAGTACCATAACTTACAGACTCCTTACAGTCCCGTAATTTCTCATACTCAAAATATAATTACAGTCCCATAAGCAGTCCGTAACTCTAGTGTTTATCCAGTAGTTTCAGTTCTCTTGTCCGAAGGTAGATGGCAGTGCAGGGGATAGTTGGCCAATCGTCTCTCAGTTCAAAATCATCATCCAATCACAAAAGAAGGAGAAATCAACTGAGATTGACGCACTTGATAGTTGCTAGACGGACTTCAAGCGTCATAAGTGACGATGGAATTATGTTTGAGTAATACTTGAGGATAATGGTTAACCACTGACCAAAATAAGCCGATATATATATATATATATATATATATATATATATATATATCTGTGTGTGTGTGTGTGTGTGTGTGTGTGTGTGTGTGTGTATATATATATATATATATATATATATATATATATATATATGTTGATAAAATCACACAGGGAAAAAAGAAACAATGGATCACCTTAGCTTTAGTACGACTTTATTCAAGACATCTTCAGAGGCAACTGAATTACATAGACAGAGAGAGGCTTAAGTGCACAGAGTGACCTTACTAAACATGAGATGGAGTCTAGGCAAAAATGTCCACTTGACCTCATAATTGGCTTTCATTACTGAAGGATATTTACAGCTATACCACATTAATAAGGTCTATCTGAAAGTTTATTCAGTCATGAAAAAAAATGTACCATAAATGTGAACAATAAAAACCTTCTATTTTGGTACAAATTACTTGATAAGTTGTAAGAAAACAAAAGCTGCGTCTCTTCCATTCAGCGAGAAATAGAAACACTTAAGCCTCTTCTTATGGTAAAAAAATATTAACCAAAAAGACAAACTGTAATATCGTATTTTAGTATGTTGATGTACAAAAATATTTCTTCATTATTCTATGATAAAACAAAACAAGTCTAACAAGTATTATAACAGCATATATTATTAATTTTTTATGCAATCGGGAGAAAGGCGACTACTATATCTGGGTTGAGGGTGTTAGAGCACCAAAGGAGGTGCTGTAAGTTACGGGCTAGATTACTGAGTCCGCTGACAAATATTTGTTTTGAGTATACCGATCGGAGACTGTAAGTCCAGTTACGGGGTAATCAAAGAGATACAGTCCCGTAAATGTTTTTGAATATGCTCCCCTGACCTGACCTGATGTTTGTAAGGTCACCCTTTGTATATAAGCCTCTCTCAGTCCCTATAAATTCAGTTGTCTCTTAAGATGTCCTGAATAAACACAAAAGCTAAGGTGCTCCAGTTCTCCCCCTTTCCTGTGTGGTTTTATCGAGATTTATCTCGTACTCGCAATTTTACCTGCATTACTTGGTAAAGAAAGGCTGTATACAATGGAGATTTTGGTTGGTGAATCTATTTTCGGCTGTATCACTGTCAGTATACTCTAAATATTAAACTATGTCCATCCTCTGTATTGTTATATCCTTCTTGGTCTTCCCTTCTTCCGATCATCCACCTCTGACTGTACATATTTATGGGGTCCGAACAAAAGCCCCTCAATTAAAGTGCATAGTAGGACAAAAAAACACTATTTAGAGTAAAAAAATAAGATATATAAAATACTACATTTATTATGTCATAAGACTGCAATAAGGAAGGCATTTTAAGTATTATACAGTAACACACATCAACACTTGCATTATAAATTTATAGCTAATTGTTTTACAGGAGCACCTGGTTAGGTTAGGTTAGGTTAATCTGAAAATAGAAAAAAATGGGGGTTATGTCCAAGGGAGTTTTGTCCAAAATGGTTTTGTGCTGCAATCACATATTTATATATAACTATTTACTAGGGAGCACACGTGTGTGTGTGTGTGTGTGTGTTGCTTAATCAAATACAGGTTTCCAGATAATGATGGCGTCACTCGGGCATCGTTTGGTAGTGTTGGCTGCCACTGTGATGACCATCTCCTCCGTGGCTAGTCAGGATATGGTTGGACCCGTGGAGCAGGTGGGCGTGGATGTGGGCGTGATGGTGGGTCAGGTAGTGGAGCACCATCTCACCGGCTGTCACCTGGTGCTCATCACCACTACACAACACTCGCACGTATTTTCAAGTATAATCAGGTGAATTTGTTCTTTGGTTATATGTGTATTGCGAAATTCATGAATGTATATATGAAGCTTTTCTGATGGTGGAGGCAGAGTGGTTCTTCAAACATAAGAACATAAAAATGGAGGAAACTGCAGCGCGTCTATTGGTGCATACTGGGCAGTCCCAGTTAGCCCCAACCCCTAATGCTCATCTGTCCATCCAACCTATGTTTGAAGCTATCCAGCATATTCGAGTTAATGATGATTTTGGTAACTTGTTCCACTTGTCCACTACTCTATTTCCAAACCAATGTTTACCTATTTCGCGCCTAAATCTAAATTTGTCTAATTTAAAACCATTGTTACGAGTTCGCTCTTCGTTGGATAGTTTAATTACCTTTGTAATGTCACCTTTGTTTAGCCCTGACTTCTATTTATACACTTCTATCATATCGCCCCTCACTCTACGTTTCTCGAGGGAGAGGAAATTAACCTGTCTCTACTCAAGATTCCAAATGACACTGGTTTGGAAACAGAGTAGTGGATGAATGGAACAAGTTACCAAATATCATCATTAACTCGAATACGCTGAATAGCTTCAAACATAGGTTGGATGCTTATATGAGCAATAGGGGTTGGGTGTAAACGGGACTGCCCAGTATGGGCCAATAGGCCCGCTGCAGTTTCCTCCATTCTTATGTTCTTATGATGTTGATAAGGAAGGTAGAAGCACATGGAATAGGTGGATCAGTATTAAAATGGATTAGGTCATGGTTAACTGGTAGGAAACAAAGAGTCAGCATAAATGGATTAAAGTCAGACTGGGGTGCGGTCAAAAGCGGAGTTCCCCAGGGATCTGTATTAGGCCCTCTGCTGTTGTTATATTCATTAATGATCTTGATTTAGGCATAACTAGTAGGATTAGTAAATTTGCAGATGATACCAAAATGGGGAGAGTGATAAATTCAGACAGTGACTTTGAACACCTTCAAAGAGATCTAGATACCTTATACATGAGTGGTCAGAGACTGGCAAATGAATTTTAATACTGATAAATGCAAGGTACTACAGATAGGGAAGACGAATACAACGTTAAGTATAAACTAGGTAACACGGAAATAGAAAACTCAGTTTGTGAAAAAAGATCTAGGTGTATTTGTTAGCAACGACTTGAAACCTAGAAAACAATGTATTAGCGTTCGCAACAAGGCAAACAGGATTCTTGGGTTCATATCTAGGTCTGTGAGTAACAGAACTGCTGACATTATCTTGAAACTTTACCTAGCATTAGTGAGGCCACTCATGGATTATGCGGGTTCAGTTCTGGTGTCCTTATTATAGAATGGACAGATTCTTTGGAGAGAGTACAAAGAAGAATGACAAAAATGATCCATAATATTAGAAACCTTCCATATGAAGAAAGACTGAAAAGCTTAGGCTTACATTCATTAGAGAGGCGTAGAGTTAGGGGAGATATGATAGAGGTGTACAAGTGGGTAAGTGGGATTAACAAGGGTAAAATGGAAGATGTTCTGAAGCTCAGTAATAACGAAATAACTAGAACAAATGGCTTTAAGTTAGATAAATTCCGATTCAGAAAGGATATAGGCAAGCACTGGTTTGGTAATAGAGTTGTGGATATGTGGAATAGGCTACCGAGTGCTATAGTAGGATCGGGGACGCTAGGGAGCTTCAAGACGAAGTTGGATAGGCACATGGAAGTGCTAGGATGGGTGTGAAAGGGATCTGCCCTGTATGGGCCAGTCGGCCTCCTGCAGTATCCCACTTTCTTATGTTCTTATGTTCTTATGTTCTTATGTTCATTCTCCAAATTCTTTCTAGAGCTTCTATATCCATTCTCTAATATGGTGACCAGAATTTAACTGCGTAATCCAAGTGAGGTCTCACAAGCTAGTCTTGTAACTAATACTCATTTTTATGAACCCAAGTATTTTATTAGCCTTGTTTCGAGCAAATGCACATTGTGTAATTGGCTTAAGATTCTGACTTATCATTACTCCTAAATCTTTCTCACATTCTGATTTCTCTATAACATTGTTGTTCCACAGTATCTGGTTTCTCTGTTTACATATCCTATACTAAGTACTTTACATTTTGTCCACATTGAATTTCATCTGCCCTTGTTCAAAGCATTCGAAAAATCTGTTTAGATCTTCCTGTAGTTTTGCGGAGTCCTCGTCCGATTTAATTACACGTCATATTTTAGTGTCAGCACCAAATTTACTAATGTTGCTGTCTACGCCGATATCTATGTCGTTTATGTATATAATAAATAATAATGGTCTAAGTACTGAGCCTTGGGGCACTCCACTAGTGACGTTACTCCAATCGGATTTAGGGCTGTTAATGCTCTCTCGCTGTTCCCTGTCCTGTAACCACGCACTAATCCGTTTTAAAATATCTCCTCCAATGCCATGAACCTTCACTTTTCTTATTAGTCTTTCGTGGGGGGCTCTGTCGAAGGCTTTGCTAAATTCAAGATATACCACATCATAGTCGTGTTTGGTCCACTGATTCGAAAACAGCTGAAAAGAATGTTAAAAGATTAGTTAGACATGAACGCCCACTTATGAAGCCATGTTGGGAATCATTGAGCAACTTATGTTTCTCCAGGTGATTTCGAATAAAGTTTGAAATTATTGCTTCCAGTAATTTGCCTACAAGTGATGTTAAACTGATTGACAGTAGTTAGAGGATAGAGATCTATGTCCCTTCTTGGAAAATGGTATTACATTTGCTATTCTCCAGGATTCTAGTACTACGCCCGTTTTTAAGGACATGTTAAACAAATTTGCTGAGGACATACTAAGGTCTTCCTTACATTTCATTAATAATCTGGCAAATATCTCAACGGGACCTGGCAACTTATTAGGCTTTAGCTTGTCTATTTGCTTATTAACATCGTTTACTAGACACTACTGTACTATCTCGCTTAAACTATTTCTTCTCTATCTCTGTATATAGTCGGTGCCTCGGGTATCAAGTTTAAATTTTCGGTGGTGAAAACTGTTGAAAAATATTAATTCAGATTATTGCTCATTTCTCCTTCGTTATCATTTAGTTTGGTGGTATCTGACTGTATTGGTCTAATCTTTTCTCGTGATTTAGTTTGGTACATTTGAAAGAATTCCTTGGGGTTTTACTTCGCCTCCCTTACTACCTTCAGTTCATTATTCTTCTTTGCTTTTCTTATCTCGGTCTTAACCCAATAGTATTCTTTAAATAATTATTGATCGATTTAGGGTCATTGTTGTTTGATCTGAGTTTTGTGTATTAAGTAACTCATTATTTAAATTATTGTTGAACTCGTCAACCTCAGTTGACGTGATCAGGTCATCCTCACCCGTTATATTTTGTAAGGATATCGTTGTCAGGTCTCCAGATAAAGTGATGTAGGCCTTCTGTGAGTACATTGAGTGAGGTCATGTAATCCAACCCCAAATGTGATACCCCTTCTCTTAGCTGTTTCTTTAACCTATAAAAGTTTGTCCTTCTGAAGTCGGGGACTTTAACGGAATTTTCCTTGCAACTGCCATTAAATTCTAATTGAAATCTTATTTCTTTGTGATCGCTGTTAGCAAGCTCGTTCCCAACCTCGACATTATTAATGAGGTTTTCTCTGTTAGATAGAACTAAATCGAGTATATTATTACCCCGGGTGGGTTCGGTGATATGTTGACTTGGGAAACAGTCCTGAACTGTTTCAAGAAAATCCTCTGATTGCGCATTACCTGTAAGGTCGATCCAATCCATTTGGCTAAAGTTAAACTCGTCTACTATACAGACTTTGCTATGCCTGGATGCCCTGCGTATTTCATCCTAAATAAGTCTCTCATTAACTTTATCGAGATTAGGAGGTCTAAATATTACTCCTGCGATTAATTTTTCCCTACCATCGATTAATTCTATGCAAATTGTTTCTGTATTCAGTTCAGTTTTTATTTCCTTATTTATTTCACACTTCAGATTATCCCTGACATAGATTGCTACTCCGCCTCCTTTCCTAATCTGGCTATCGGTATGGAATAATTTGTAACTTGCAATTTGGCATTCGGCAGGACACTCTCGTGAGTAAGTTTATTCACGTTTCGGTGAATGCTATTATAACGATTTTTTCGGTACATAACAACGCCCTGATTTCATCCATTTTTTTCTCATACTCCTACTGTTTGCATTTAAGTTAGTTATGTTCTGAGTCCTCTCTTTGACGCATTTAGGTTTTAGCTCCCTGCTTAATTTAGTTTTGTCATCATTCCTAGCATTATTTCCCTGTAACCTTTCACTTTTTACCCGCTCCCACTGCAGTCTCCTCCACCTCCTTGCCCATATGTTCCCCACAGGAGGTTAAAGACTTCCACATCTTTTGAACTGCCCTCTCGAGAGAGCCAAGACAGGATTGCCATCCCATCCCCAGCGTAAAGGTCCCTTCTACCGTAAAAGTTGTCCCAGTTGTCAATGAATGGGACTGATATTGACTTGCAATATCTGTTAAGAAGGCCGTTGACACTAACTGCCCTTGACAACCATTCATTGCCAACTCTCCATCTAGGCAGGACACCACATGTGGGAGCGATCCCTCCCTTCAACCCAATACGTTCGAAAGCTGTCTTGAACTTATCAAGGACCTCCTCACTCCTACACCGGCCAACATCTTTGCTTCCTGCACTGAGGCAGATAATGGGTTTGTTCCCATTACCAGACAAGATCTTGTCCATCCTGTCAACTATATCCACCACCCCAGCTCCTGGCAAACAAACCCTCATCCTATTTTTATTTTTACCACAAAACGCTCTATCCAGGTACCGTCCCTGGGAATCGCCAACAATTAAGGTTTTCGTACCTTCTGTGTCAGCTTTGTCCCTGACCATGTTAACGTCCACTTCGTCTATCAAAGGACTAAAATAGTTTTTACACTTAGCTGTTGTCGTTTCCTTGGTGGCTTTTCTCAATACCACTTTGGTCGTTCCTCTCCTCACTTCCTTCCATTCACCTGAGTTTTCGTCAGACACGGACTTTCCTTGTCTCGTGTCTTCCTCGTTCATCCTCGCTATCACTTCCTTTAATTTAAAGTTTTCTTCCTTGATCTTCACTAACTTGGCCCACAGAAGGGCACAGCCCTGTTCGCAAGTAGTAAAAGTCATTACCGACAATTTATCCCCGGGAGCTAAGTCTGCCGTGACCTTTCCTCTAGCGAGGTCAGAACACAATTCGAGGTCATAACACTACTGCCTCAGGATCACCTCCTCCAGGGGTATAATAATGTAAATATGTGTCCCGCAGACACATGGGTGTGAGTATGGAGGCTGGTGTGGTAGTGGAGGCAGGGTGGGTGCTATCTCAGGACCAGGTAGCTCAAGACCATCTCCTCCAGAGGCTGCTGGGGGAGGTCAAAACAACCTGCCGGGCACTCATCCTCGACCTGACCACCAACAACCGTAGTGCTGACATAGCTCTCAGGTATTGTTTACAAACACGCAGTGAATTAAGAGTTAGGATAAAAAACAAATCTCAATTACTAGACCATAATCCTATTCTTATATTTCATCATGTACAGTACATATATAATTAATTTCCTTAGTCTTGAAGATTTCATTTGACCATTATTTCTGAAAGTCTTTTCTTGATCTTGAAATAAAAACCAAGTCGATTTTAATTTTCATAATCTTATAATCTTAAGCATTTTGAGTTTCATATGGATTCACCAATAGAACAGAAATTAAGAGAATATACTGTATATACTCTAATATTACAGCTTTTGCTTCACAGATTGGCAGAGGTGGCAGGATTGTGGAAGACGCCAGAGACGCGGGTGGTGGTGGTGGGTGGGATGGCAGGAGTGAAGGACGTCCTCCTCCACCATAGTCTCCGTAACACCGTCCACGGCCTCTACCTGGCCCTCCACGACCTCACCCTCCACACACCACCACGTATCGGCAGCTCACGCCTCAGGAAAGCCTTGCCACGGGAAGGTCAGTACGAAATAAAACAAAAAAAGTGTAATGCTGTTTATCTGGTACAGTTTATGTCCTGTTTTAGTCTAATACGATAATAGTCATATCTACTGTTCGTAAAAAAAACAGGAGTGAGTGAGCGTGTGTGGGTGTACCGGCGGTGTCTGTACTGTAACAACGGAGAGGCGGACGTCCAATATTTTTACCAGTGGAACAGTACCTCCTTCTACCATCTAAGCGGTTTTCTCTTGAACGGTGAGGATCGTGTAATAAATCGTTGTTGTATTCTGTCATTGGTTTACTATAACAAAATTCTTAGGGTATACAATGTGAATACCAGAAAAGTTTTGTGGATTCTAATTTTACAGGTTTTACACTGGATGTTTATCCTTATGATATGAAGAAGCTCTTGTCTCTCTCTGACCATTATCATTTGACAACTCTAGATAACGTGCATGCCTCTTTACTAATAATTATATTTTCCCCTTGTGTGTTATGTACCGATTCATTACCCAACCGAGAATAAACTCATACAATGTGGTGCTGCCCTCCTGAAATGCACCCCCTCAAAATCTAATTAATGCTTTTTTAATGAAAAATCCTTGAACATGGATTTAATTTTCTGATGAAGTTAAAAACTGCGTGATACTTCATAATTAACCAAAATAAACCATTATTTCATTACATGGTGACTAGCTGGGATACCCGGCGTTACCATCATTTTTTTTTTATGAAGTAAAGTTACCCAGAAAAGGAGCACCCATATTGACCATGTCCGTCCTTGGTCACCTGCACCTGCAAAAATAACCTCATCAAATTTTGAAGCTCTGTGTTGAAAACTGTGGTTATGCACAAGAGGACCCATTAATTTTGTAAGCATCCCCAAGGCTATTTACATAGGCATACCAAATTTCAGCGATTTATCTAAAAAACCGTAGATGTGCATAGCAAAGTAACCGAAAAATACGTGTTATTTTCAATGTGGGGATTGTACCAGCCACTGTAGCCAACCCAAGATAATTCTACATTTATGTCACTTTTGGGTAAATGCGTAACTTCATGTTAAATTTCAGTTTTCTATTTTCAAAACCGTTGCCGTTCATTTCGCACAGCCACACAGACATATATTCCATATCTTAAAGATTGTCCAATCTGCGGTGGCTTTCAAAATCTTATCTTATCTTCCTTCAGAAAAAATCATTTTATTAAAGATTTATTCCAGTATCCGTCATTATTTCTTCACAAGAACAGAACCAAGACTTAATGATGCAATTATACAAGAAGTCGTTTCTCTACATCCAGAACCGCTTCAAAACATGATGGGTCAGAAGCTCCGGGTAGTCACTCTCCCTTTATTCCCTTACATGGACTACAGCAGGATCAACGATGAACCAGGGAACATGGTCGCCCCCAAAGACTCTCTGGATGTAAGGTTAATCAGCACTTTCGCTGCGGTGTTCAACTTCACGTAAGACCTTTTGTTTCTTCACATAGCACCTTGAATTTCTTCCAGTTGCTATTGTTCGCAAATATGGAAGCAAAGTTACTTGTGATGTATTGCTTTCGTTTACGTTTTGTGGATAATGAGCTTGAAAATAAAGCATATGTTAAATTTTATTTAATAATGAAAGTTAAATTTCTAATGACCTAAATCCATTTTCAACTTATGATAAATTTTCCACTCAGCTACGAGGTAATAGAGGAACCTAATAGGTCATTTGGTAACGAAAATGGCGGCAACTTCACCGGGATGATCGGTCAACTCCAACGGGAGGAGTCGGACTTCTGCACCATAGTGGCGCCTACACCAGGACGACTCAAGGTCACAGAGTTTATCAGAGGGTATCCGGCTGATATGCTGGTTGTAACGTCTCTGAAACCCACACTACTGCCTGCACATCTCTCACTGGTCAGACCATTTGCACGTACGGTGAACTCTGATAATAGTACATGTTTTGTATTTCACGCAATGTAAGTTCTAATATTTCGGCTTTTGATCATTTGATTATTTTCATATATATTAATTGCTACTTTATCTTTCCGATATAACAGTGGGAGTAAAAATAATATTAATTTGCTGAGAAACATATTTTTACTATTCACATACACTTCTTTCTCTCTCTCTCTCATTTAGGAAACCTTTGGTTTGCATTGTTGGCGAGCGTGGTAACGTGGGGTTTGATTATGTGGGGACTACAGAGGACATGGAGGTGGGTGACGGGAGGACGCGGTCTCAGGTTCAGCACAGCCCTCCTGTACGGATGGGGAGCGCTCCTTGAACAGCCACCCGTCAACCCCTCCGTCAACGATTCAGGAAGAGTAACTAAATACGTGTTGAATACCTTTATCAAAGATCATTTATACCACATTTCTTTCCTTAATTCTTCCCCTAAAATTTTCTAGAATTAATATTTTCAGGCTGTTAGTATACTCACAGCCTTTTGCTGCAGATTTTACAATTTTGTATTGGTGGGTGGTGGATGCCTGGACATAATCTTAATGTTTACAGTTACTGGTGGGGTGGTGGCTGGTGTTCTGTCTGATCATCACCACTGGATTTCGATCGTCTCTTATCGCCCACCTGACCGTTCAGGGGAAATCCTCAACCCTGGACAGTTTCCAGGACCTGCTAGGTCAGGGCAACTGGAGGTGGGGCAGCGAGCCTTGGTTTTTCAATGGAGCAGCCTTAGAATATTTCAGCAAACACACTGACCCTGTGGTGCAGCAGATATACAAAGGGATGGAGGTAAGTTCATGAGAATAAATACTTTGTACTACAGGGGGTCTGGCCGTGGACTCTGGTCGTCTGGCCTTTCGGTAGAGATAGGCGATAACTTTGTATTTTTACTATTCGACGGATATCAGTGAGTATGTGATAAAACTGACTATATCAATTAGGAAGGCCTTTGCTAGCTTAGAATAACCAATAGTGTCTAAATTGGGTTAGGTTCGGTTGCGTTAAATTGGGTTAAATTATGTTTGTTAAGTTAGTAACTAAGTTTTTACCTATTCTGTAGTCTATTTTGTTATCGATTCAATTGCACCCATGTCATAATTTTTTTTAAATTATCGTTATAACGCAATAATTCTCTATAATGCCTAGACGACTTTGCCCAAACTCATCGTACATGAGGACAACAAACACTTGTAAAGGAGCCGATATCATAGAAACCGAAGCATCAATACTAAATGCAATATACAAAGGCATGAAATTAGACACAGATACAGTCAAAGAAACAAGTACACATTCAGTATAATAAACACACTCAATTTATCTCTCTCTTTTGTAACAAAGAAGCTAAGTGCAAATTATTCCCATCATGTGTTTTCGAAATTTTTGATAACTCAATATCCATCAGGTTTTAGTGGTGAAGGAAGCTCTTAGGAACGTGCTGGCTGGGGGCTTTTCCTTCATTACTGTCCAAAACTACATTACAGTCATCATCACCTCCATGTACACCGACGCCAACGGAGAGACGCCATTCTACATCAGCAACAAGGGAAGATATATATTAGCGTGTTTTGGATGGGGTTTAAGGTGAGGATAAATTGCTAATCTTGGCCAAAACTTTTACTCAGTTTTGCAATCCCTTACAAGCGTCTGCCGCGTTCACTTTCTTATCTGTCTCTTAACAAAATGTAAATTATTAATCCTTGGGGTTCTACTTATTTTGATAGCCCTGACGATGCTAGCACACCCTGAGTAACTGGAGAGATGCTCTGAATTCGAAATTGATATAAATGATGGACAATATATTTGCATGAATAATTATATATACAGACCAAAACTAATAAATTTGATATAAATAGTAATATTTAATTATAATTTCAGGAAAGGTGCACCATTCTATCAGCGTTTTGTTCAGTTGATGTCTCGACTGGAGGACGCTGGTATTATACAACACTGGACTAACGACGTAATAGCTAGACGCGTGAGAGAGAACAGAGCAGCTGCAACACTAGACCCCCAGGCAGCCAAGGGAGACCCTACACAGGTGAACATAAACTGATAGTCTCTTTTAGCTAACGTTCATGTGAGCCTGACACACAGCCGTATGTATAGACCTCGTGTTTATTAATATCGGTTGCATACAATGATAATAATCAATCTTGTAATTCTTCAATTCACATATAAATGATGTCTTCGTCAAATCATCATGGCAGAAGCACCACAGTACTCGTATACACGTGCCGCTGCCACCCAGAGTACCATAATCATATAATTTTCAAGACATTTAAGTCAGGTGTGAGTCAGGTAAATAATACAATATTTTTCCAAGGACGACAATGGGGAGGTGGTGTTGGGTTTGAACCATCTGCAGGGCGCCTTCTTCCTGTTATTTCTTGGCTGCATCATCGCTTTACTCATGCTGCTGGGGGAGAACTTCATTCACTCTCTCTCCTCACCCAAGCAACACCCTTCCCGATCTTAACAGACCTCAGACTATGTTGCTGTGATCTAGGAATCCGTCACAGAAAATTATCTAAGCCATTCTGACATACTGAAGGTAAGATATGTTCGGAGATAAGGGACAACGGTTTTAATGGGCTATCAGTACTGTGACCCTTAGAGTACTGGCATGATTAAATTTGGATGAAGAACGCAATTCGTGCACATGATATATATCTTTATCAGAGTACAATTACACATAATTTGCTGGAACCAGTAATTCTAGCAGATAATATATCCAAATAATTTATAATTTTTATAATAATCTGAATCTTAATTAACACATCAATAAAGTTGTTCTTCCATGAAGGAGTTTAATCTGATTTACCTTTGTGTGTGTTGTATCCCGTACTTAAAGAGGACATGGTGTTTAGTGATGAGGGGATACGATTTTTAACTGTTCAGCCAGACTGAGAAACCAGACACAGGATGAACAACGATATTATAGAGAAACCCGACTGTGAGAAAGACTTGGAAGTAATGATGGGTTCAGTTATATGTTGGCTTTGGAAACAGTCCTGGATTGTTTCAAGAAAATCCTCTAATTCTGAGTTACTGGCAAGGTCAATCCAATCTATTTGACTAAAGTTAAAGTCGCCTACTATATAGACTTTGCTATGTATGGAAGCCCTGCGCACTTCATCCCAAATAAGTCGCTTATTAACTCTATGAGGATTAGGAGGTCTACATATTACTCCTGTGATTATTTTTTCCCTGTCATCGATTAATTCTATCTAAATCGTCTCTGTATTCCGCCTAGTTTTCATTTCCTTATTTATTTCACACTTCAGATTATCCCTGACATAGATTGCAACTCCGCCTCCTTTTCTAATCTGCCTATCGGTATGGAATAATTTGTAACCTGCTATTTGGTATTCGACAGGTAACTCACGTGAGTCTAGGTTTATCCGTGTTTCGGTGAATTAATTAATTTTTTCGGTACATACCAACGCCCTGATTTCATCCGTTTTGCTTCTCATACTTCTACTGTTTACGTGTGCTGAGTCCTCTCTTTGTCGCTTTTAGGTTTTAACTCCCTGCCTAATTTAGTTTTGTCATAATTCCTAGCACTATTTCCCTGTAACCTTTTACTTTGTTTACCCGCTCCCACTGCAGTCTCCTCCACCCCCGTGTTCATATGTTCTCCTAGCAGTTGTAGTATCTAACATGATTTAATGGAAGAATGAGAAGCCACATGCTGAGTCTTACTCCCTGCGGTTATTGTTGTTGTTATGTACCACGTGCCTCGTATATTCGTGATTACACAGGCCTAAGCACATTCTAACTTTGGTAAGAAGTAACATAATATATAATGTATATATAATCAATAAAGGCAGCATATAAACATTCATATATATAGAACACTATTTCTCCCTTTCAAAAGAGAGTATGGCTGCTACAAATCGTAAATAAACAAAACTTACAGAATTTCATATGGCAGGGAAGAAGTGAATAGAACACAAGAAAAATAATTTCCTAACTAAACAGTTTTGAAAGGCCTGTTCAAAATTCAGATAATCAGAGGTCTAATTTCATTACAGGTCTCCTAACTCTTTTTGATCTACGACTATTCCCTCCATCAAGTTTTACAGGGGCTTCACTTGCACTCTGTGCATTATCAGTGACAGGCGTATCATCATTACAGTCAGTTGACACAGTGAGTGGATGCTGGGGAACATCATCTTTGACATCATCATCATCATCATCATCTGCAACCGTTTCAAGTTTATCATCATGTCCTGGTGCTACATTCATCTCGTCATGTGCCTGAATGATGTGATCCACATGAACATATCTCAAAGAGTTACAACATTTCACTAAATATGTCCTAGATCCACATACCTTGTCAATGACCCCAGTTATCCACTTTGCATGTACAATACCATAACGTTTAGCGATGTTCCTAACTCTCACCCTATCATTTACCTTGAACACTCTTTCACTGGAACTCTTATCATGATACATCTTTTGTTGAGCTTGTTTCCTCTCTACAACTTCAAACAGACTTGGCTTAACTAAACTTAATCTTGTTCTCAACTGTCTCTTCACCATTAACTCTGCAGGAGTACATCCTGTCACACTATGTGGCGTGGTTCTGTATCTGATTAAGAAATTTGCTAGTCTGTGTTTCATTGATTTTCCAACAGTTCCTTGAATTACCTGCTTGGAAAGTGCTTCCTTTACAATTCTAACTGATCTCTCAGCTGCACCATTAGAGGCAGGATGATAGGGTGGGGTCAGTACATGCTTTACACCGTTGAGTCTCATGAAGTTTTTAAACTCTGATGATAGGAATGGAGGACCATTGTCAGATACTACCTCTTCTGGTATTCCATGTTCAGCAAATATTAATCTTAATTCATCAATGGTGCTACCAGCATTAGTACTGTACATGTGCTTAACATCAATCCACTTTGAATGACTGTCAATTAATACAAGAAATTTGTCTGTTCCCTTATCACAGATGTCAATGTGTACTCCTTGGAAGGGACGGGTTGGCCATTTCCAGGTTTTCAAAGGTGTTCTGGGTGGCATACTCCTAACTCTCATCATTTATATTTCACCATCCAGTTTATGCCACCACACAAAACTTCTGGCCAGTGCTTTCATAGCACATATACCTGGATGTTCAAAATGCGGTTCATTCAAAATTTGCCCTCCAAAACACTATGGAATTAACACTCTCATACCCCACAACACACATCCCTGTTCTACTGATAATTGACATCTCCTTAAATGATATGGTTGAAAGTCTAAGGATGGGCAAATCTCTGGCCATCCATTTAGTGTATATTCCAGGACTCTTCCTGATACAACATCTTTCCTAGTTTCATGAGCAATCATTCTGGAGGTGACTAGAAAATCTTCTGCTATCTTGGTTACAGCATAAACCTAAGGCTCTACTCCATCATTTGATCCACTACATGGCAACCTGGACAAAGCATCTGCATTGGAATGATCATCTGAACGTCTGTACTGTATCTCATAGTCATATGCAGACAATATCACAGCCCATCTCTGCATTCTTGCTGCAGCAAGTGTAGGAACATGTGATTTAGGACCCAAAATTGCCAAGAGAGGCTTGTGATCAGTTATTAAGACAAAATTCCTCCCATATAAATACTGGTAAAATTTCTTTACTCCAAATATGTTAGACAAAGCCTCTTTCTCCATTTGTGCATAATTGTTCTCGCTTTGGGTAAGAGTTCTCGAGGCATATGCAATGGGTCTTTCTTCACCGTTATCCATTATGTGACTTATGACAGCACCTAATCCATAGTCCAATGCATCACAAGCAACCTTAAGTGTTCTACTGGTATCATAGTGGACCAAAACATCAGTACTAGACAGAGCAGCTTTACAATCTCCAAATGACTTCTGAGTTGCACTGTTCCATTTCCATGGAATCCCTTTCTTTAACAGTTCATGCAGAGGGGCTAAAACTGACGAAAGTCCACTCAAGAACCTTGAATAATAATGTATCATACCCAGGAAAGCTTTCAATTCATTGACATTTTTTGGAGCAGGTAAATTTACTATGGCTCTTAGTTTATCTTCTACAGGTCTCAGCCCTTCTGCATTCACTTTGTAGCCAAGATAAGTTACTTCTTTAGCTAGGAATGAACATTTGCTCTTGTTGAGCCTGACATTGTGTGCCAACAATCTTTCGAATACTGTGGCTAGGGTTTTGACATGATTTTGGATGTCACTGTCAACAATAAGGACATCATCCTGAAAACATAACACATTGGGAAGACCCACAAGAATTTTGTCCATGATGCACTGAAATAACTTTGGTGCACTCTTAACACCATAAGGCAACCTTTTGAACTTATACAATCCTTTATGAGTGTTGATGGTAAGGTACTGTTGACTTTCAGCATCAACATAGACCTGAGCATATGCTTGGGACAAGTCTAACTTGGTGAACATGGAGAAGGCTTCAGTTTTGGTAAGAAAAAAGTAACAGTCATTTAAATGACTGGTAGGTTCACGCCAAACATTGGAACAGAGAAAGGCATGATCTTTTTATTTCCTTTAATCCATTCAGTTAGGTTAACGTAGCAGCTCATGCAGCACACATGAGGTGCCCACTTCTTATCTTGAGCCCCCACATCACAACCAAAATAGGTATGATATGCTTGCTTCACGATTTTTTTTATGGAACGACACTGAGATTTGGTGATAAACTGTCCACACACATAGCAAAACTTATTTGGTGAATTAACGCAGCCTCGGCGTTGTATTCTTTTCATTCTTTGTCTTCATTTATTTCCACGACTTATCTGAAAAAAAGACACAAAAGACATATTAGTAAGAGCATTATTGCCGGATCGCCCGTCGGTTGGTCGGAAAACGTTGTGGTCCATTGTCACACATTATATTATGTACACACTAAAAAAAATAACGAAACATAAAATGATACAACACTAACGAAAAACTAACCAACGCAACAGAACTCAACATAATAATAAATCTACGACACACCACCACACGACCAGACACCGTCGACTCCACTGTAACACCTCAAAACCCACCTTACGGGCTTGCAACTCACAACTAACTCCCATTACTGTCCGGCTTTCATCGTCGTCCCCTCGCCCGCCGTGTGCAAAATAAGGGGTGAGGGGCCGACTAGATGCCGTGCCGGCACGCAGGTATGCGGGGACGCAAACAGGGGTCGCAGGTATCCAGAGTCGCTGTGCCAGAAGTAACGGTAGTTTAGTTAATCACCGATTTCGCACTGGGAGACCCAAACCAAAAGAATTTCGACCACAGCAAATGTAGTCACAACTGTACACACGACTAGATTGAGGTTAGGGACATACATTTCCTCCCACCTGCTGTTCAGTATTGCTGACCTTGCATTTAATATATCCCTACCAACACAAGTACGTATCTTATATGCCTCCACTACATGTACACACATATAATAAAATGTTACATGACTGACATTTTTTATTTCCATATTTGAAATCAGCCCAAAATTTATAAAGTGCAGCGTATTTGAACCATGTTACAGAACCCTTGTCAACTAGTGTTCGATATACAGTATGTATAATGTGTGTTTAGCAAAGAAGTGGCATACTTAATTGGTGTTACTATATCAGTACCATATAGTTGGCCTCGTTATCCCATCATCTTTAAATGGCTACAAATACATTCTCACCCTTATTGATTATGCAACTCGTTTCCCGGAAACTGTACTATTCATAAACATTGATACTATAACTGTGGCTGAAAATCTTCTTACTATTTTCTCACGTGTTGGTATACCTATTGAGATATTGTCCGATAGAGGTCC